GTGGATGTGGCCTACTGGAACTTCTGGAAGGGCCGTTTTTGACCTTCCCCAGAGTCCGGAGGCTTCCCTCAGGCCCCTGGGAGGGTGAAAATGGCCTGTTTTTCCCCGCTCTGTGGGGACCCTGCACTTACCTGCATCGAAAATGGACCGTATGGAGATACCTGGAAGGGGAGGGGAGGGGTTGGTGGGGTCAGCAGGTTGGTTCAAATACCAGCTCGGCGAACCAGATGCAAATTTAACATCTGGTTTGCCCAAACTGGTGGAATTCCACCCATTTTGGGTTCATATGCAGATAAATTACATGAGCTTCTACTGTCTTCCAGTAGAGCTTGGACCAGATGTCTCCAAAGTTGGCAACTTTAAGACTTGTGGACTTCAACTCCCAGAATTCCTCAGCCAGCTGTGCTGGGAGAGTACTGTCTCCCCACTGGAAATAAGGTTCTTTTTTGGCCATAACTGAACTCTGGGAAGGCTGTACTCCCTGTAACTCAATCAGCACCCCAAGAACTTTCCTTTTGGGGACTATTTTGCCCTGCTGTCCCCAGGGGTGGGCTGCTCAGGGTTCACAGGGGTTCAGGCAAACCCGTTAGCTCTAGCGATCGGTTGGCCCTGCCCACCTACCCGTGCTTTAGTCTGTCCTTTATTTCTGTAATTTTGAAGCTCAGCTGAGGCGTGGCATAATGGATTACCACGCCTCAGCTGTTTTACTCACCGGCGTTGCAGTGGAAAGTCAGTTGTAAAGCTGTAAAATGGTGGTTTTTGTAATGTTCTTTGCGCGCGCAAAGCGTGTACTCACCAAACCGTTTGTGAAACTGGTAGAAGCCCACCCTGGCTGCCCCCTTAGCAAAGTTCCTGTCTCTGAGTCACCTGTGTTTATCTTGGCCTGGGAGTGAATTTCAAGCAGGGGATTCAAAGCCAAATTATCTGCATTAAAGAAAGGTCACCGCATATCCTCTGTAGCAAACAACTGTATCCAGTAGTTAAACTTTAGTGAAATACCAACATAATTAGATCACTCAGATTCACTCGGCAGCTTTGGCGAAGCGAAGAAGAAAACAAGGAAAAAAATTTTCTTCCTGAAAAGTTGTAAGCTGCAAGAAAGTGGGAAATAGTCCTGATTTTTAGAAAAATTCTACAGAGTACAAATGAGAGAGATCGATCCCGTGATTCTTTGGAGAGCTGGCAGGAAAAAAGACCTAAAGCCAAATTTTAGCTTTGTGAGAGGCATATATTCCGGGATATCTAAAAATGTTTTTTTTTTCCTTCAAATTATCTCTACAGTAACGGTGAGAATTTTAATTCTTTGGAACTGAATAAATTATGTAAAGATGATGAGACTGCCAGTCTGTAGAATAATCCTCCAAAATAATTCCTTCCAAAAAGGAAAAGAAAGACTTAAGTTTAGAATCATAGGGCCAGAAGGGAGCTTGGAGGTCTTGTAGTCCAACCCCCTTCCCAAGGCAGGAGACCTTATTCCAACCTGGACCAATGATTGTCTAATCTTTTCTTAAAAACCTCCAGCGATAGAGCAACAACTCTGGGAGATCAGATTAATTGTTTTCAAATCTGGGTGGGGAGGCAGAGAGGAAAAATACAGAAGTAGTTCCACTCTTTGGTGGAGGCAGCGGCTCTGAATGCTTCGGGCCACTCCATGCAGACCTAGCATGGACCCATTTTTTGGGGGGGGGGGCTTCCCAGGACACGAATTGACACTCAGACACAACGAGACAGGAGAACAAAAACAGGCACCTGCAGAGTCAAAAATATGCAGACGTGGCTGAAGGGAGTCCAAAACATGAAGATGGTGGCCACACTCAAGCAATTGAAGACCCCCCCCTTTCTGGATGCATCTTGACTATGTTCACCTCCTTCTCCCGCACACACATCTGAGAGAGTGGGGGGGATGGAAGAGAGAGGATGAGAGAAAGAGAGAAGATGAAAGAGAGAGAAATGAGAGAGAGAGAGGGAGGGAGAAGATGGAAGAGAGAAGATAAAAGAGAAAGGGAGGGAGAGAGAGAGGGTGAGAGGGAGAATGAGGATGGGGGAGAGAGGGAGGGAGGGAGAGAGGATGGAAGATGAAAGAGGGGGAGGGAGGGAAAGAGGGGGAGAGAGAGGGAGGATGGAGAGACAGGGAGAGAATGAGGATGGGGAAAGAGAGAGATGGAAGAAAGAGGGAGGGAGGGAGAGAGAGAGAGAGAGAGAGAGAGAGACCTTTGTTTAAATATTTGTGGAGATCCTCAGTCATCCAGGTCACAGTTGTCCGAAATATGCTTTTTTCAAGAGACCACTGGACTTTCTCATTTTCCTTTGAAGTTGTTTTGCTTCTCATCCAAGAAGCTTCTCCCGCTCTCTGGGAAAGGGAAAGTCCAATTCCCTCTTGAAAAAGGCACCCTTGGGACAAACGGTTGTTTAGTTCGTGGGAAGAAAATGCAAAAAAACCACAGGCACACCCTAGAAATTCAACGCGTTCCTCTCTTGCGTAGAAGAAAGGGAGCGATGCCTCCTACGCCCACAGCTGGTCAAAGGGTGGGAAAGAAGTCTTGATGTTCTCCTTTGCTTTGATCTCTCCCTTTTTTTTCTTACAGGGCAATGAGACCACATTGACTCAAGGTGTCCTTTAAGATTCCCTCCAATGGCAGCCGGGCTCCCTTCTCCCACTTTACCTCTTACAATCTGATTTCAATCACCTTTTACTGAATCTGATCCACTGCAAAGCCAACTCCAAACTCAGCTTTATTTACCAGAATACTGTCCTTCTGAACCTTATGAGGTCACAGGGCTACTCTTAGATAGCTTACCATATCTCAGTGTTTCTCAACCTTGGCGAATTGAAGCTGTCCCAACTCCCAGAATTCCCCAGTCACGTGGCTAGGGAATTCTGGGCATTGAAGTTCACACAGCTTCAAGTCGTCAAGGTTGAGAAACACTGCCCTGTCTGAATGATGCCCCGGATAACCTCATTCAGCTTGAAATCTCTGCTTGCTGCCATTGTTTAATCGCCAAAATTATTGCAGCCCTCCTATTAGATAGTAGTATTCTTTACAGTCATTGGCTGCAACCCAGCCTTCGCTGGAAATTTGCCCGTCTGCTCAGAAAACAGTGGAAGGCACAAGAGAGGAACGGGGGATGAAGGCTGAAAGGAAGAGCAATATTTATTCCGGGTTTGGGTTGTGGGTTTTTTTTTGCATAAATCTTAGGGATAATAGGGAAAAGAAAGTCCTGTTTATTTCATCCACACCCAAGCAAAGGTGATTGACTGTAGGAAAAAATGATTTTAAAAAATGTAGGATGGATGCAGATAGATGAAAGATGATAAACATCAGATCTACCGTGGATATTTGTAGCAACCTTATGCGGCCATTCCTACTTGGATTTACCTCTCCGTTCACCTTATGCAATATTTGCACTATAGGTAATCCTCAAATGACACCCACAATTGAGACCGAAATTTCTGTTGCTAAGTAAAGCAATTGTTCAGTTCGTTGTGCTTCATTTTATGACCTTCTTGTCACAGTTGTTAAGTGAAGAGTGAAAATCAACTTATTTTCCAAAGCACCAGAAGACGAGAAACAATGGATGGAATCTAATGGAGGAGAGAAGCAACCTGGAATCGAGGAGAATAGAATGGAAGAGAGTAACAGAGTTGGAAGGGACCTTGGAGATCTTCTAGTCCAACCCCCTGCTTAGGCAGGAAACCCTACACCACTTCAGACAAATGGTTATCCAACATCTTCTTAAAAACTTCCAGTGTTGGAGCATTTACAACTTCTGGAGGCAACTTGTTCCACTGATTAATTGTTCTAACTGTCAGAAAATTTCTCCTTAGTTCTAAGTTTGGTTAAGTTTCCACCCTTTGCTTCTTGTCTTCCTAACTTTGGAGACAATTAACCAGTGGAACTCTTGCCTTCAGAAGTTCTAGGTGCTTCATCACTTGGAGCTTTTTAAAAGACTGGACTGCCACCGATCTGGACTGGGATAGAATTACCTGCTTGAGCAGAGGGTTAGGCTACAAGACCTCCAAGGGCCCCTTTCAGCTCTGCTCTGATTGAATCACTGCAGTGTTAAAATGAATCATGGGGCCATTAAGCAAATCTGGCGTCTCCCCGTTGATTTGGCTCATCAGAAGTTGGCTGGGGAGGTGACATGTATGTAATCATATGACCTGGCACAGTGCAACTGTCATAAAGACACCCCCGTCGCCAAGTGCCTGAATTTTGATCACGTGACCACGGGGAGGCTGCAGCAGTGGTAAGTGTGAAAAACAGTCCTAAGTCACTTTTTTTCAGAGCTGTTGTTAAACTTCGATCACTAAACGCTAAATCTGCAGCCATTTCCTCGAATCAGAACCGCAGCCTAACTGAACAGCTCAAACCAACCCCGCTGTCAGAACTAAGGCCCGGAGTTACCTCTCGGGCAGCCGCTACCATTTGCAGCTCAAGCATCTCGTGTGAACCCAGCCACCCCCGTGTGAGGAACAGGGACGGGTTAGTCAACCGGGGAGATCGCTGGATAAACCAAGAGGGGGTTGGCAGGGATCACGGCCCTGCAGCTGACATCCCCCGTTTGGAAGAAAGCGACGACTTTAGTGCATTCCCAGACGGATGACCCGGACTGACACGTGTGAATGCTTCCGAGGCTTTGTTGGTCTGATTTCATGCAGGGCGGGCAGCTCTGCGGGTTTGTGTTTTTTTTTTTTTGCATCGGATGCCGCAACAGCTGCAACGGAGCAGAACAACACGGGCAAAGCAGCCCGTCCCCTGCGCGGGATCCGGCGCTGACACGCAAACGGCGGCGCAACTACTGATCCCTCTTTTGCAAGCGATCCCTCTTTGCGGAGGTCTCCAAACTTGGCAACTTTAAGACTTGTGGACTTCAACTCCCAGAAGTCCACAAGTCTTAAAGTTGCCAAGTTTGGGGACCCCACCCTGCCTCTTTGGAAGCGGCGCAGGCGCAAACGAGAACGGGCGCTTTTTTTTCCCTGGCCCCGCCCCGCCCCTGACTGATCCCGCCCCCAGAAAGCCACGAGGCGGGCGCGGTGAATCGCCGTTTGCTTCTGCCATTGGGCAGTTCCTAACTGGGGGGGCGGAGTCAGGATGGCGGGAAATATGAATCTGGAATCCGGAAGCCTCTTTGTAGAGTTCCCAGAACTGGAAAGCTGGAGTTTGTTCCACCCTGCCTGGAGGAAGAGGAGGCCGGTAAGACGCAGCTAAGCCCGCAAGCGCTTCGTATCAGGCAGAGCACTCCTATTAAGGGTTGCAAGGGAATTACTCCTAGGAGTACGAGTGAAGGGGAAGACCGTTTGCACCGGGGCACTGGGTGAATCCCGACCGCATGGAGCTGAGATTTGCTGTCTTGAGAAGCCCCAAAAGTGCTTTTTTTTTTCCCCAGGAGGCAACTGGACTTCCTTTGTTTGTTTTTTCTTTTGAAGATGTTTCGCTTCTCATCCAAGAAGCTTCTTCAGCTTTGACACCTTCCCACTATCCTGGCAGAGCTGAAGAAGCTTCTTGGATGAGAAGCAAAAAGTCTTCAAAAAAAAAAAAAACGAACAAAGAAAGTCCAGTTGCCTCCTGAAAAAAGCACCTTTGGGACAACCGTGACCTGAATGGCTGAGAATCTGGACAGACTTCTGACTTGAGAAGGTTCCCCACCCAAACTCTGCAGGTCCCTTTGGATGGGGAGACGCCTCTGTAGCACCTTAGGAAGGCAATTCCTGGGAAAAGAAGATTTGGGACTTGTGCTGGGGAGGCTCCTCATAAAATCGGGGTGCAGCCTGCCTCTCCTTTCCTGATGTGGGGTGCATGTATAATAAACATGTGCAAACAGGTTTGCTTTGGGATGCTGTCCAAAGCTGAGCGGTGTTGGGCCTGGTTGATGTTTGGGTGGGAGAACACCAGGAGATTCCGGGACTGTGGAGTATTTTGGGAGTTGAGAAATGGAGAAGGTGAAGCGTGCTATATTCCTGCCAAGAAAACAAGTACTGACCATTGTCAGTATTGTTTGGAAATGAGCTCAGCTCAAAGGAACCATGACCTTTTAATTGTTAGAATGCCTGGAGTATCTTTCCATGAGCCTTTCTATCCTATTTTAAGAATTACAATTAATAAATAAAATAAGAAGAGATTACAATGACAGTATCCTGGCTGGGGAATTCTGGGAATTGAAGTCCACACCCCTTAAAGTTGTCAAGGTTGAGCAAACATGCTCACCTCTAGTTTTATGATTTTTAATTTGTGTGTGCAAATCCAGTCAGTCTTGATTACTTTATGGTTGGATGTATGTACAAATGGGTGAGTTAATTTGGTGGCCAAGTAATTTGGCAACGAAGTTGTGCAAAGGTAAACTTAATCTGAGTACACTCAAAGACTATGAGGCAGTTGCAGTAACAAATTGGTTAGTCGTATTCTTGGACTTTTCAGCCTTACAAATGTTAGTTGGGATTCTTCTATTTTGCACACTGTTTTTTGTTCACAATGTGTTTCCAAAGCTTCGTTATGTTTTGAGGAGTTCCCTAATTTGCATCTTCTCTTTGTTTTCATGCTGAAGGATATTTCATGTAGTCCGAAAGGCAGAAAATGAAGAGGAAAGGCAGAAGTGCTGTTGGAAAGCAGCAGGACTCTTGTGATGTGTGGCTGGATCCTTCAGCACTCAAAAGACGCAAAGTGATGGTAATTTATATTCCACCTTTATTATTATTTTTATAAATAATTCAAGGTTGTGAATTACACAATACCCTTCCTCTTCCTATTTTTCCATAACTCTTGTGATGTGTGTTGGACTGGGCCAAAGACAACCAGCCTGCTTTCATCTCTAAGGCAGGACTAGAAGGCTCTCGATCTCTGGGTGATTGGACCCAAATCACCCAGCTGGCTTTCATGCCTAAGGCGGAACTGGAGCTCACAGCCTCCTGGTTTTTAGCCTGCCATTTTAACCGCTAGACTAGACCAAACTGGCTCTAATGTACTAAGATAGTTTATTTCATACAGTGTTAAAGCTGAACAGCAAAATAACACGAGATATTTCATTGTGCAGGTTAATCTGAAGCTTGTCATCTTTCCAGGCCTTCAGATAGTAGTAGAGCCCTTTGTGGCCTGGTTCATACCACAAGCTAAGCCATAATGGCTTGCTCATTTGGGGGTTAATGTATTGGGTGAATTTGCCTGTTTGGGATTTGTATATTGTGATTTATATTTAGCATAAATTGAGTAGGAAACCAGATCGTTGTGATTTTGTCAATGATGGTTAAGCTAACCATGATTTAGGATGTACAAGTTTAGCCAGTATCTGCTTTGGAATACTGTATCAAAGAGGAAGTCTGAGGAGATGAACAGGTTGGTAAGCACCCAGGAAATCCATGAACAGCTCTAGGTCAGACTTTATTAATCTTACCTTAGTTTGATTTTGATTTTTTTTTTGAGAGTGACCTTTTAGAACATGGGTCCCCAAACTTGGACTTTAAGACTTGTGGACTTCCACTCCCAGAATTCTACAGCCAGCAGAGAATTCTTGGAGTGGAAGTCCACAAGTTTTAAAGTTGCCAAGTTTGGGGACCCCTGTTTTAGAACCTCTGGAAAGATGCCTTAAAGTCACATATAACAATAGTATTAAGCACCAGTATTATGGTGCCATACAGGTAGTCCCTTGACTTGAGATTGGTTGCTTAGCAACTATTTGAAATTATGATGGACCTACCTGGGGGATACTTATGGCCCAGATTTGAAGTTACAATGGGGGTGGGGTGGAGAGAAGGCTGTAGTCACATGACTGCACTTCAAATGTTCATTAGGCTGCATTTAGAGCTCTTGGGAGCATTCCATGGTCATGTGACTACATATCATCAGAGTTTTGCTGAAAACCTGGCAATTCTTATCAGCAAAACTATGCTCCTAGCAAACCATTGGTTTGCTTAACAACCGTGATTAACAAACGCTTCAAAAAAGGTGGTTAATATTAGATCAGTCATGTGACTGACTTGCTGTATGATAACCCGAAGATCATCTCTAGTTCAAAAAACATCAGGTTATTTTACTTACTGGTCACACATTGCAAAAACATGGTGGGAAGGAGGGTTCCGTTGGCTTAACACGGGTGTAAGCAACCTGTGGCTCTGGAGCTGCATGTGGCTCTTTGGGCCCTCTGCTGTGGCTCCCTATTGGGTGATCCCACCACTGGCTGGCCCCGCCCCTTGCCCTCCCCTCCCAGTCACTCACCTCGCCTGAGAAGGTAAAACATAAAAAACAGAAATGGGAGGGAGGGAGAGAGAGAGAGAGACCCACTTCCCACAGAAAACACTGGGAGCCACAAAACCTGGGTAGGGTGTGTGTCATGTGACTGGGTGGGAGTGACTTTGAGTTGGCCATGCCCACCCAGGTTTTGAGGTTCCCAGTGTTTTCTTTTCTGTGGGAAATGGGTCCAAATGGCTGTTTGACTGTTTAAGGTTGCAGACCCCTGCCTTAACATGTTGTGCAAACCTAAGTTAGTCATAGCGTGATGGCATTTTTCAAAAAAGAAGATACGATCGCCAGGAAGGTTTTGTGACCAGAGAGGAAATCACACTAGGACAGCAGGGTTGTCAAACTGGCAGCCCACATGAAGCTGGATGCGTCACATGAAGCCACGCCCACCCCAACTCCTTGAAGGGAAAAAAAACATCGCGGTATATCACGTGATGACAATGTGATGTGTCTTGAGTTTGATACCCATATACTTTGCCTATTGATTGCAGATGTTGTTCAAATTGGTTTTATCTAAGTAAATCATTATTAATTTAGGGTTTGGGATTAACTAAGTGTATGCAATATGCTAAAGGTAATGTATGAGGAACAATTGCTCTTCGTTCTGTATTTTGTTCCATCTAGAATGTTGCCACTAAGTCAGCCTTAACTCTCCTGGGCCGGGACTCCCAACCTTCTGCAATAATTGGAGCTCATCCATGCCATAAACAAACCACTATTTCTACTTTCTTCACTGCTCAGAAAGCAGGTACAGTCTGTTTTTTCCTTGTTAGGTACTCATGACATGGGAAGAGAATTGTCTTCACCAATTTGACTCATTATGCACACTGCACTGTAACATCAGCAGACCCAATGGCTCAAGTTCTTTGCTTTGCTTAAGCCACAACTGACAAATCAAGCGTACTGTGTTGTGTAAATGCAGCTGGTAGGTTTGTAGCTATGTTGGGTAAAATGAGGGACCCCAAAACACAGATTTCTCTCTCCATAATCCTCCAGTAAAAAAAACAACCCCACAATTTGCTTTTTTTTTGTTGCTGGGGGATTGGAGACCATACATACCTATGAAATTGTCCAGAATTAGGCTTTGGAAGGAGTGAAACTACCTTAGGCTTAACTGAAACAAATATTTCTGAACTAAGTTTATGCTTGTGTACAAATACAATGAGGCTACACACTGATAATCCCAAAGGGGACTGGGGGAACATGGCGCTCTCTCTTTTCGTTATGGAGTTACAGGGTGTGCTAAGCCAAAGGTGGCTGAGGAACTCTGGGAGTTGAAGTCCATGAGTCTTAAAGTTGCCAAGGTTGGAGACCCCTGTGCTAAGCCATCATGTAGTCTGACAGACTCTGGCATTAGGCCACTATGGTTACAAGGAACAGTGGCTTAGCACAATGTAAACTCTCCATTATAATTTGAATAGGATTTAGTACATGCTATCTAAGCTGGTAGAAATTCCATTTCTTTACATGCTGCTTCAACAATGTCGCAAATGCCCTAATCTGCAGCAGGCAAATTCTGGATTCCTGTTAAAATGAGGCAGAAACGAGAGCGATAGGTCTCTGGGAAATGTACTAAGTACTCCCACCCACCCGCCTGCCCAGGTTTAATCTCCACATTAATGCAAGGAGGGGAGTCAATTTAACCATGCAATTATTTAAAATACATATTTAATTTTTTTTGTCATTCACATTTCGTTCTGTCCTTTATTTTGCATCCTTTCTTTAGTGATTCTATTCAATTTCTTTGATATAAATTTAACTCTTGTCCTGTGGCAAGTTGGTCGCAGCAAGTTGGCGAATTGTACCAGGTAGATGGGGATGCAGGGCTGTAGCTTTGCTGACACTTGGAAGCTATTATCTTTTCTTTTATGTATAGAGAGTATTTACACCAAGACAAATTCCTTGTGTGTCCAATCACACTTGGTCAATAAAAGAATTCTATTCTATTCTATTCTATTCTATTCTATTCTATTCTATTCTATTCTATTCTATT